CCACAATATAGTAGCCTAGCAAATAATGCTATTTTCATAATATTCTAATAGCCAGGTTAAAATTTTCAAGTATTCCTCAAGTATCCTTCAAATTATTTTTCTTAGAATTCAAATCTATTAAGGCTTGGGAATTGTGTTTGGTCATTTGCGTGTTACTAGGAACGGGACCAGGGCCTCACATATGCCAGGTAAGCACTCTACCACTAAGCCCCCATATAGCTACATACTCAGCCATTGACTGTTTCTTAAAACTAATCTAGTAGCAGGGTGTGTTGGAGGATGCCTGTAATCCCAGCACTTGGGAGGCTGAAGCAGGAGAACTGCTGAATTTGAGGCCAGACTGGGCTGCAAAGTGGGTTCAAGGCCAGCCTGAGCTGCATAGTAAAACCTTGTCTCAAAAAAGAAAACAAAAGGGGTTGGGGATTTAGCTCAGTGGCTTAAGTGCCTGCCTGGTAAGTACAAGGTCATGAGTTCCATCCCCAGTACAAAACAAAACAAAACAAAACAAAACAATCTCATCCAGAAGACTGTTCCTCCCATCTCCTGTTATTATCTTATTTAATGATCTTTTATTTATTGTTTTTTTGCAACAAGGTTTTACTATTCAGTTCAGGTTGGCCTTGCACTCACTTCATAGGCCAGGGTGCCCACGAACTCACAGTGATTCTCTGCCTCGGTCTTCCTAGTGCTGGGATTACATGCATGCAACACCATGCCCAGCTTAATGACAACTTTTAATGTGCTTAGCATGCCTGGAGCCCTGGATTCAATCCACAGCATAAGAAAAGAAAAAGAGAGAAACTAACCCAGTTGTCTTTGTGGAATGTTTCACATTTTGGATTAGTTTTTTGTTTTTTTTTTAAAATTTGGCCAATGGGAACCCTAAGAAGGGAATATAGTTTTCATTTTTTATTATTTTTTCCAAATTTATTTTATTTCAAGGAAAAAGAAGAAAAAATGGATTTATTTCCTTGTGGTATCATACAACTGGTACCCTTCTCTCAAATTTCCTGTAAACTACATGTCTAATTGCTTGATTGCATAGGCTGAACATTTTTGGTAAGAATATTCCGTAAATCATGCTGTGTATTTTACCTATCCCTTCAGGAGGTGTATAATTCTAGCACACATTTTTTCATTCAGCTTCCATTCTGTTTTGCCTTCACTTTTACCGTTTTTTGAGATGGGGTTTCACTATGCTGTTCAGGCTGGCCTTGAGCTCACTTTGTAGCCCAGGCTGGTTTCGAACTCACAATGATCCTCCCACCTCAGTCTCCCAAGCGCTGGGATTACAGGCATGAGCCACCACGCCCAGCTACTGTTTTATTCTTACGTTTGTACTTGACTGAATACATTCAATGTGATCCAGTGTAATGGAATTGAACTCAGTTGCCTTGTGCTTTCCAGGCAGGTGCTACACTGCTGAGCTACATCACCAGCTTTTTTTTTTGTTTTTCTGTGTTTGGGATTGAACATTCTAGGTCAAAGATTTACCACTGAGCTACCCACTCTCCTCAGTTCAAAAATATAGTATTTATTATACTTTTTTTGAGACAAAGTCTAGCTGTGTAGTTCACACTGGTTTTACACTATGTAGCCTAGACCGGCCTCAAATGTACAGCAATCCTTCCTGCATCATTCTCCTCAAAGCTGGGATTACAAGCGTGTACCACCACACTGGCTCAACAGTATTCATTTATTTTGTACTGGGAGTCAAACTCAGGGCCTTGTGTTTGCTAAGCAGGTGCTGTGCCGCTGAACTACACGTGTAGTTCAGTTCAGCAGACTTCTTTTAATAACATCCTGACTTTGAGCTGTATGTGCAGAATTTCCCTCAGCTTCTGAAATAAAAGTGAAAACTAGGCTGTCAACAAAGTTGCTGAATTCTACATTTTTGGATGTTTTCACCATTAGTTTGGGCCTCTGTTCTCCTTTTTCCCAGCCCCAACGATAAACTGTATTTCCTCTGTTGGATCTAGTCTTCCTGTGCAGTATTTTCCCTTCAGATGTTATTCTCTTTCTTACAGCACAGCACAGGAAAATGACAACGTCCCAGTTTTCTCACTAGTCACTGGCAGACTATTCTGCTTCCTCTGCTTAACGAGATGGACAGGTTACTGTGAAGATCAAGTAGTATCAATGCTATACAAAAATAAATCATTATTTAAGGCACCACAATGGCTTAAAGTCAAACTGTCAACGTGGCAGAGTCATGGAGACATACATTGGTGGTAGTAGGAAGTCAAACTGTTAATGGAAGCAAACATTTGTTAGAGAAAGGTTCACGAATGGGTGGAGGTCAAACCCAGCTTCCATGAAGTAAGAAAACCTGAGGTCTACTGCAGGTCTCAGAGTCTTCACAGAGGACCAGGTTGGAGCTGTCCACAGTCATCTGTTAACCAACCTTGCGCTAGAGCTGTGTGTCTTTTTACAAAGTATTTTTTTCCTTAAATTCTTTATTTTGGGGGTAGGTCTTTTTGAGACAGGGTCTCACTGTGCAGTTCAGGCTGGCTCTGAGCTCACTTTGTAGCCCAGGCTGGTCTTGAACTTGCAATAATCCTTCCTGCCTCAGCCTTCCAAATGCTGGGATTACACATATGCACTACTACGCTCAGCTGTTAAATTCTAACTGCTTCTGGTTTGGGGATAGTATTTTTTCTGCTCTTTATCATCTCTAGCCGCTCCTTAGTACTATTATTATTAATAAAGTCACAAAATAATTATTCATAATTATAGTTAACAGCTATATGTCTCATTATATGCTAAGAACTGTGCTCAGAAATTTGTTATCTCACTTAATACACCCAGCCCTGAGGCAGATACTATCCTACTATTCCTTTAACCAAAATCCAAGAACAAGTTTTCAGAGATAAGTTGCTGAATTCAAACCCATTTGCTTAATTACCATGTATGGAATGTGCCACTAAAATTTTGGCATTATCCAGACTTCTAGCCTTCACTCCTTGCTTTTCCTCAAGGTCACATATTTGTGTTTCTAATTTCCTTAACCCTGGCTGCCACTGAATTTAAATAATTTTTCCTTGCTCAACATTCCCAGTGCTGGGACTACAGGTGTTTGCCACAATGCCAGGCTATTATTTTTTAATGTACCTTTATTTTCTTTCAAACAGTCTTGGTATGTACTCCAAGCTGGGCTTGAACTCACCATGGAGCCCAGACTGGTCTGATACTCCAATGCTTTAGTTTTCTGTGTGCTGGGATTGCAGGGGGATGCCACAAAAGAGCCACGTACCTTTGAAACTACATTTCCAAACCAAAGACTCATGTACACTTGGCAGACATAACAGAAGGGTTGCTAGAACTCTAACTGAAACTTATTTTATTCCATTTGTGGTCAACTATGATTTCCAGGTTTCTTTTCCTGTGATGTATGTGACAAATTGTGGTGTGGTAGGAAAAGGATTGAATGCAGAATTAATTTCAGCCCCCTTGGGCCTGAGGCAGCAGGATTCCAACCTGGGCAATTCAGAGACTTAGTGAGATCCATGTCTTAAAAAAATAAATGAAGATGTAGCTCAGTGTGAAGGTTCTGAGTACCATTAAAAACAACAAAAAACCCAAACCAACCTTACAATTCAGTTCCTCCTCTCTCTGTGAAGCTTCAGGTAAATTACCTGCCTTCCTTAAGTATAACTAGGAAGTGAGGAAAAAAAAAACCTGTGATTCTTCGCCTCGGGTTAGTGAGACAGCTAACCCTCCTGACTTTTCCTAATCAGAACTTAGGGAACTGCAGGGTTTCCCTAATGGTGTAAGGGCACGCAAACATTCAGTTACAAACTCCATTCACTTTATCCTTAAGATCCCTTCTGGTTCTGTTAGGAGTCTAAGGAAGCCTTTGTCTAGTCAGTATTTGGTGCCTGCTTTACTTTTCAGTTCATTATTTTACACTGGCTCTCTGCTTAGTCTTTCATTCACAAGTATTTGTTGGTTGCCGGTGACACATCAACTACTGTAGGTCCCTTTCTGTTCCCTCTCTCTCTTCTCTCTTCCTGGGGGTTGGGGGGAAAGGCTTTTCGAGTTTTTTCTTTTCTTTCTTTTGTATCGCGAACCGAACTCACGACCTCCCACTTGCCAGGGAGGCGCTGTGTCACTTGTGTCTCCAGCCCATTTCGAATTAACTTGGCAAGAGAAAGCACTCGAAATTAAGTCACGACCTTTATAGACATGCTAGTGGGTTATCTTTCTGTTCACCAGCTCCATCTCGAGGACGGTCTTCCCTGGAGACAGTCATTCGTGGACTCCTGTCGGGGACAAACCCTCCACCCACAGGGCCTCCTGCCACACTGGCTTCCGAGCTACTTGCCTGGCATCCGGGGTGACGCTTCCCGGAATTGGAGCGGACTCCTCCCGGCATTGCTCTGCGCGTCACCCGACTGGGACCCACGCGGGGCGGGGGCGGCACCTCGCGTGCTCCGTGGGCGGCTGCTGAGGGACTTCCGATTCTCCCCTGGTCTCGAGGCGACGCAAGCGGCTGAAACTTCCTCACTGCCCCGCCTCGGAGCACACACGCGACGTCCGCCCCAGTCTCGCTCCACAGGAACTTCCCCGGCCTGCTCGGAGCCGGCTTCTCCGTCCAGAGCCGCGCGTGTCCCGCCCGCTGCCCGTCAGCTGCTCGCTTCGCCCGGCCGCCGCGGAGGAAGAAGGCGCGCGCGCCGCGACGGGGACGACGTGCGCGAGACGCACGACCCCGCGCCCAGCGCCGGAAGCGGCCGAGCCGGGCCTCACGCGTCGCGCGCGCCGCCCCCACCTTGTTGCCGCCGACACCGCCGCCGCCAAGGCCTCGCTCGCGCGCGCGCACTAAGGCGCCGCCGCCGCTGCTGCCGCCGCCGCCACCACCGCCACTGCCGCTCCGCCTGCTGCTCCGGCTGCTGCAGGAGGCGGCGCTGGCTGGCGGCTGCGCTCGCTCCAGTCGGCTAGCGGAGCAACGAGCGAGCGTGCGTGCGTGCGTGTGTGTGTGTGTGTGTGTGTGTGTGTGTGTTTTAAAGATGGCCGGAGCGGCGGCGGCGGTGGCCGCGGGAGCAGCAGCTGGAGCGGCCGCGGCAGCCGTGTCGGTGGCGGCTCCGGGCCGGGCCTCGGCGCCCCCTCCGCCCCCGCCGGTGTACTGTGTGTGCCGGCAGCCGTACGACGTGAACCGCTTCATGATCGAGTGCGATATCTGCAAGGACTGGTTCCACGGCAGGTAAATAAACCCTCAGCCCCGCCGCCAGACCCCAAACCGCCGTCGCTGCTGTCGCCGGTCCCAGCGTTTCGTCAGGCCCGGCCGTCGCGCCGCGACCCGCGACCCTGTCGCTGAGCATCGGGCCAGGCAGAAGGGCGCGCGGGACCCCGGGCTCGCCGGGCGCCGGGCAGGCTGCCGAGGGGCGCTGGGGCTCGGCCGGCCCGGGCGGAGAGTCGCCACAACAAACAGGAACAAAGGCGGCCGGCGGAGAAGTTGGCAGGGGGAGCCCGGGCGAGGGACGCGGAGGGGGCAACGGGGACGGCGGAGGCCCGCAGCCCGCAGCCCCTCGCCCGGACCGCCCCGCCCAACCCCGCTGTGTCGCCTCGCTTCACCGCGTCTCGCCTCACCTCTCCCGGGCTCCGGCCCGAGTCGACCCCGGCCACCCTGCGCCTTGCCTTGCTTCCGGGCTGCCGCGCGTTGCCCCCCGCGGTCCTGTCGCGCCCCCTTCCCGTCTTTCTCAAACTTCTCGGCCGGCGGGGCGGCGGGACGGGGTGGCGAAGGGACCGCGTCAGGCTGTGGCGGGGCTCGGCAAATCGGCAGAGCAACAGATGAGGCGCTGCCGGGGACCCTCGCGGACAGGCCGAGGAGCAGGTGGGCTCCGCGCCGGCCACCTCGCAACACACCCCCCGCGGCTGGCGCGCAGCGGAGGGAGGAGTGGGCGACGGGGAGGAGTGGGACAGCACCTCTCGGCCCCCGCGTCGCCTTCGCCTTGCCGAGCAAACTTTAAAAAGAGTGTGATCGCTGTCGCCTGGGGGTTGGCGACACCGGGACGGCCCGCTGCGGGGGCCCAGGGCTGGCTACTGGCAACTTTGGGGCGGTGGCGGCGGCGCCGGTGGCGGTGGCCGACGTTGTCCTCTGATTCCGCTGTCGCCGCAGCCGCCGCCGCCGCGCCTCGGGTTTGACGTTTGTGAGAACTCGGGCCGCCTCTGCAGCCAGGCCGCCGACTCGTGTGTTTTGTAATCAAAGTGTGAGGCTAATAAAGGGCGGCGCCACAGCCTCTTGACTCCGGCGTGGGAGGGATTCACAGGCATTTAAACAAAGAAACTAGTTGGGGTTGGGCTCTCAAAGTCCTTATTTGGGTGTTGTGGCCAAGCCTGCGGTCACCTTTAGGTGAAGCGCGATTCCCAGTCACCGTTGGCTGTTGTGTCTGGGCGAGAGCTCGCTCGCAAGTCATAGTTGATATGGTGACTGTGATTGTAGGAAGTGCCCTTTGATTGACAGCAGGACATTTAAATACAGCCTCCTCTTCCCCCCTCCCCAATTTTACAGAAACACTGAGCGACCAGGCCAGATGTCTTAGTCTCCCTCTGCTGGTCCGGGAAGAGAAAACCATTTAAATTACAGGGTTCTTTACTGTGGTAAATGTCAGTATAGTTCTTTATTTTCAAGTACAGTTGGTTTTACCTAATGAGGTTTCAGGTTAGACGATTGTGACAACAGAAAAAGCACAACAGACTATCAGTTTAGTACATGTGCTGTCGAAATGAGTACACAAACTATCAATTTAAAAGATGAGCAGTGTCCTCATTTTGTGTAAAGGTAATCTCAAATAGTCTGATAAATGGTTGTGGAATATTGTTGCAGCTTTGCCACTTGTCATTAGGAATAAATTATCCAAAGATGTTTTCTGTTAGGCTATATGAGTGTTTTCCTATATTTTGATTATATACAAAAGTAACATTTCAAGATAATAAATCTTGCCAATTTTGTTTATACATCCTTTATTTCTGTAACATATTCTAAAGCAAGCAGAATAGAGATTATCTAAAAATCTAAGTTCTGTTTAGAATAAAAATAAAAATTCATAGTGGTTTGTGTTCATGTTTTCAAAAGACTTTTAATAAAATGGAAGTTTTGAGCTATGTAAGAAATCTGCTTCATAGTGCAATATTGATATTTGGTAGATTAGAGTTTTTTCCATTTTAATATAGATAATTTAAAGGCTGGGTGTGGTGGCTCAGGCCTGTAACCCCAGCACTCTGGAGGCTGAGGCAGGAGGATTGGTTGGGGTTAAAGACCAGCCTCGGCTACAAAATGAGCTCAAGGCCAGTCTGAATTGCATAAAGAGACCCTGTCTCAAAGAGACCAAAAATAAATAAATAAATAAATACATACATACATATATGTGTAACAACACTATTCAGATATTTTCTGGAGAGGTTTTTTTTTTTTGTCTTTTTTGAGATGGGTCTCAATATGCAGTTCAGGCTGGCCTTGAGCTCACTTTGTAGCCCAGGCTGGTCTTGAACTCACAAGGATCCTCCCACCTCAGCCTCCTGAGTGCTGGGATTACTGTCATTGAGCCACCATGCCCAGCTGCAGATTTCTTGTAAGTACAAATCTGTAAAAGGAAGTTGAAGAGAGATCACCTGAACCAGTATGTATGTTTTCTCTGCATTGTCACATAATATGTGTAATTTCCTACCTGTGGAAATGACTCTCAGATATCTTTTTTTAGGAGTGCATGATCTTTTTGGTCATTGACCTTTGAGACTTGAATGTATGTCAGATGTCCTAAGCTAGGAAACTAGTGTTGCCCTGCCCTACAAAAATATCTTTTTAATGACTCTTGTGATCAGCATTGTATTTATTCCAGTGTTTATTGTACCATGAAACAAGTGATTATTTTTAACACAGCAAACTGTTCCTAATGTGTTAATTATTAAACGAATGTTATTTTTTCCGTATGAGAATTGGCCCCTTAAGCATTATGCTATATCTAATCCCATGGTCAAATTTCCTTTAGCTTCCAAAAATGGTCCACCTGGGGCTGGGGATTTAGCTCAGCCTTGCAAGCATGTGGTCGTGAGTTTGATCCCTGGTACCGATAATAAAAAAAAAAAAAAGGTCCTGCAGAGGAGGAAATGGGTACAGTGAATTGCTTGTACCTGGATGATTTCTTGATACTTTTATTTCTTCAAGTAAAATAATTTTTTATTTTTTTAATTAAAAAATTTTTTTGGTACCAGGGATCAAACTCACAACCTCGCACTTGCCATGCAGGTGCTTATGCCACTGAGCTAAATTCCTGGCCCCAGAGAACTGTTTAAATTGGTGAAATTAATCAATCTAGGTATACATTTTGGTTAACTTGCCTGCAGTTTGTGATGTCTGGAATCTGAAAAGTTGTCCGTATTTCTCCTGTTATGGAAGAAATGTTCTTCTTGGTGCTTTTTTAGCAAGGTTGAGTGGAACAGCTTTCTGTAGTACTGAGGCTGTTAACCTTGAGCTGCCTCTTTGGTATTCAGGAATTCTCATTCATCAGTTTGCTTTTGCCTTTTTGCAAGGGAGAGGAAAAGACATCAGGCAGGGTACAATGTATAACTGATACTCTAGGGACATTGAGCTGGGGAATTAGCAGGGTTTTTGGGTAGGTTCCTTCCAACCTGGCATCCTGGGTGGAAATAGGACAGTGGATGTCCTTCTTGGTAATGCCCTGCCCTCTCATCTCAGGGACCTGGAACTTTCCAGCCTACTTTGATATCTTCCTGTGAAAAATGGCATCATTGCCCTAATTAAATTGTCTTAGAGCAGTGATGGTGAACCTTTTAGAGCTTCTAATGATAACAAACAGCTGGCTGTAACACGGGTGCCTTAGGTTCACTACCACTGTGTCTGTTGTGTCCTCATGGGAATGAAACACTTATTAGTCCTTTTAACCACATCTTCTTTTGATTTGTAAAACTAATGCAGAAAAATTAGAAAGAAAAAAAAAAGAAAAATTGGAGAGTAAAAAAATGAAGGTACCCATATTTTCCAGAGATAACCACTGTTTCAACACTTGAAGTATGTCTATATATATATTTTTGAAAAATATTGGAATTTGTTTTATGTATTCTAATGTAACCTACAGTACTTTTCTGCATATCGTTAATATTCTTTGAAAACATTTTTAGTGGATGCATATTGTTTAATTCCATGAAAGTACAATATACTTTGAAATCATTTTCCTTTTGTTTACTTTGATTACTATTCTTTCTTGTATTTATTAGTGATATACCTGACATCTTTTTTTTTTCTTTTTGCCCAGTATCTTTATAGCAAATTATTGTGGCCATCTTTAATTACTGCCTGAGAATAAACCAAGTGAATACATGTGTAACATTCACAAGACCTAGCATGTGGAGTACTCAATAAGAATTTTCCTTGAAGTAGGATAATTGGTTAGAAGGTACAGATGTCCTTGTACCTGTTGTCAGATTGTCCCTCAGAAATGTTACTACAATTTTTTTTTTTTGTATTGGGAATCTAACTTACAACCTCTTGCTTGCCAGGCAGGCACTGTGCTGCTGAGCTATATCTCTTGCCTGTTACTACAATTTATATTCCCCCAAGAGTGCCTGCTTTCTGGTGTTCCGCATCCTTGCCAATCTATTATGTTGTTACCTTCCTTCTTCAAAATAAACCTGCTACTCTGTAGATAAATGAAAACTCCTGCCCCAAAACTGTTCATAGCAGTCCCTGAATTTGAACAATCTAGGTATCATCAACAATAGATTGTGTTATATTTATAAAACAATACTATTTGGCAATAAAAAGGAATTCAATAGTAGACAACAACGTGATGAATGTCACAGATGTAAGGCTGGTTGCAAGAAGCCAGATGTAAAAAGAGTGTACTGTTTGTTTCCATTTGTATGAAGTGCAAGTGCAGGCATAATTGGGGAACAAGCCAGCACAGTGTGTTTTCCCTTGTTGGGAGTGTTGGCTGAGAGGCTGCTCCTGAGGTATGGGACATTATCTTTATCTTCTCTGCTTGGGTAAATATATATATATACATCTACTGATTTGCTGAGTTGGATGTGCAGTAAGAGTTAAGAATAAAACTTTTAACTTTGTTTTAAAATAAAGTTTCTAACAACCAAAGCTTCCCTGGTTTTTGATGGCTGAGGTACAGTATATTATAATTTTACTTAGTTTCTTGTCTCTCTTGAGTAACAATGCCTTTTAGAAGATATTTT